GCCCAATACTACTTTCCACACATATCCATACATTCCTCAAGAATCATCTTGAATCCTTTAAGTCACCACCTTAAACTGGTACAACATGTACTCGCTAAGCAGCGCATCCGCACCCGTTAAAAACACTCCCTAGGCTCTACTAGGTTCCCGACCTCACCCTGCCATCAGCTGCTGAAGAACTACTAATAATGCCAGTTAACTAGTACATGAATACAGTCACATGCAACAAAGCTTAGATAATCCTTTAAGTAAAGGACTCAACCCTACAACGATTAGACTCAGATAAGAGCTATGCAATATGGTCAAATCCATCACTCTGAGATTATTAACCTTTGTCACTTACTTGAGATTGACCAATTGCACACACTACACCCTTTTTCTGTTATTACAAAATCCTTTTAGTAAAATTTTTATTTTATAAAAATTTATCAAGCCCTCAGTTTGAGTTCAGACACACCCAAGGGTATGCCCGAATCCCTCAAACAAAGGCTCTGATACCAAATTTTAACATCCCAAAAATTAAGAGGTAAAAATTTCATTTTTAATTCAATCAAAACACCAATTATATTTCCAAAAACATTCAAAGTATTTCATAATAAAACTGTTATTTGAGTATAATCGCAAAATCATCATATTGCAGAAACATGGGTGGATGCACTGTGATCAATCCAGGCCATTCCCTCTTGAACCATAAATACGTGAAACAAAACTGAAAGCCGTAATCAGAAATCTTGGTGAGTTCCCCAAAATACCACATACCAAAACATACAAGTGTCATGGGCTACCCTCGTGGTCTTTCCCTAAAATGTCTAAGGCCAAATCCCGGTCTTACATACAAGGACCAGGGGCCAGATCCTAGTCTTTCATTCAACTGCTAAGGGCCAAATCCTACTCTTTCATATAATTACCAGAGGCCAGATCCTGGTCTTTCGTATAATTGATAGGGGCCAGATCATGGTATTTCATCTAAGCATCAGAAAGACAAATAACATTCCACATAACAAGTAATGGGCCGACATTGGTGCCTTTGACCCATGGATATAGTGAGAAAACTCACCTCAATTTGCTGATAAATAACTAGATGCTCGACTGTAAAATTGGAAGATCCTACACCAACATAAACAAATAACCTTAATCAAAATTAGGTTATAAACCATAATCATGGGTCTAAATCCAAACCTAAACTCCTAGGGTAAAAAACTATTTTACCCTTCCCACAATAGGCCTAACCAAATTTCGCCAAATAACACAATAAGGGCCCCTAAGGCCAAACTCATACAACTTAATGTTAACTAGCAAAATCCCGAGTCCCATTCATGCTTCAAACAGTCCAACGCCCAAAACCTAACTAAGGCACATGATATTGTCATATTTGTACACATTTTTAGGCAATATCTTAATACATTTTTTGTAATATTTTGGTTATTTGTAGATATATGTGATACTTATTGCATTAAATTGTATTTTGCAGCCAAATGGAGCACTCTTGAAGAACATGGACAAGAATTGACAAGGATTGGAACTTTGGAGGATTGAAGCTTGAAATAAGAAAAATTCCAGCGAAAAACGAAGATCACGATGTGGCAACTCAAGGCCACGATGTAAATAGCGTATTCTAGAGGATAAACATATGGGAAGTTAGAATCCTTGCCCGATTTTGATAAACACCCAATTCACGACATGAAACCCTATTTAATGACGTGAACCCCGTATTTTCCAAAGTTATAAATATTGCTTCACTCTTACAATTTGGGGAGCTTTTAGAGAGTTTTTAGGAGGAGTGGTATTCTGAAATATTCGATTTAGAGTTCAAAAAAGTGCACAAAACATTCATTTGAAGGAGATTTTGTTTGAAGATTAAGAGATTGAAGAACACATCATCACATCGGTTTGATTTACTTTAATCATGTTGATTTATGTTCAACTTATGCTTTTCTTTTCATCCATGAGTAGCTGAACTTATTCTCTTTCGTTAGTTAGATGATACTTTAACTCTATGGTTTAGTTTATTAATTTATGGATTTTAATAGTTGGTTTTGTGCATCTTTTTTATTATCATTACCTAGCATGCTAAAGTTGTGATTTTGTTGTTTAATTTCAATTTCACTGTAGCTTAGTGACCATTAAATTACATGAACTTGATTACGTAGTGATTTAGTGACCATTAAATTACTAGAGCTAGGATCGACCAAATCTTAGATAAGTAATAAAAGTAACAAGTTTAGCTGTACTGGAGAACATAATTTGTGATCATAATTGTGTTTTCTTAGATTAATCTTACATAGCCTATCTATAAATAATAACTAATTATGTTTTTTGCTTGTGTATGCCCATATAAGGTAGTTCATGAATTGGTGAAAATATTAGTAAAATTGGACTTGAAGTGCTAAATACATAATAATTGGTAACCAACTTTAATAATTTATAATTAATAACTAACCGTAGAGAAGAAGTGGATTCGGACTAAATGAAAGTGTGTTTATTATATTGCATTAAAATCGTTATTGAAGTGTTTAAGTTTGTCTGAACTTGAAAAATCAGATAAAACCCCTTTAAACTATTGCTTGCTTTTTAGATTAATTTTTAGTAGTTATTTTATTATACAGAATCCGTTCCCTGAGTTCGATACTCGACTATTTGTGTTATATTATTTTTGAATAGGTCCACTACCTTAAGTCGTAATAAACTAGTTAGATAGTTTGTAAAACTAATAGTTAGTATAATATTATGAACACATCAGCCCAAAAGTCCAAAGCCCAACCGAAGACCAAAAGCCCACCAAAAACACTACAAGACGTAGGCTCGGCGTACGCGGCCGATCGCCCAATGTGCAACATACCGCTTTGTATGCCCATTGTATTGGGCTGCTTGCCACCCTAAGCCATTTAGCACTTAATATATTCAACCATAAGGTCAAATTTTCATATTTGTTCTACTTTAGGGTTCTAATACTTAACGTTTGCAACTTTAACCCTTAGCATGTGTTAATGGAACCCAATATCAATTTTTTTTCCCAACAATACTCATAATAACAACCAAAGCTCATGCATGGACCAATAAGAACCATCAAGATGATATTTTTATGCATCATGGACAACAAAGAGGCTAAGATCTAACACATCCAACTCTTGGAGTTCCTCAAACTCACAAGGACAAACCATGGGACCAAATAAAGTTCATAAACGACCCTAATCTCAAACTACCATAATGAATCATCAAGGTAAGAACTTTATACCTTCTCTAGCTCCCAAAGTTAATGAAGACTCTGGATCTAAAAGCTTAAACTCAACAAATGCTTGGTGTCCAAGTTCCTTATTCTTGAATACCCACAACAATGCCACAATATCACTTTCAAAGCTCAAAAACACTCAAATAATGAATTAGGGTTTCAATAGGACGAAATGAATATTGGAGGCTGATGAGGGTAGAGTTCCACAGGCTATAATGATGGTTAAATATGGCTCAAGCCCTAAAATTTACGTTTTTGCCTTGGCAGTCATACGCCCTACGTACACCACATACGCTTAGAGTACATGGTTAAACTCCCCGTCCAAAAAAATCATGTACGCTAAGCGTACCAAACATACGCCCAAAGTACGAGGGACCAATTTCGCCAATTTCTCAAATTTAAAGGGCCATAGAAGTAGTACCCGGAATCGAGTGTTACACTTTTAAAGTAAGATTTTTTACTTTGGATCTCAGCATGGGTCGTAAGATTTTACCTGATTTGATCCAACATCTTTGGTATTTTATGTCCAGTCAAGTTTATAGCCTTCCAAACCCTACAAAATATGTTGTTTCTGCTAAAAAGCCTCAAAAGTTCGTCCATTGAATTCAAAATTGGGTATTGCAAATTCCAAGAAGTCTCTTAGATCATCGCAATTTCAACTATCACTCTTGAATTAGGCTTAGGCAGACCATCGTTACACCAATACTAGTCTTTTTATGATTTCATGCCTTTACGTGTACATGGTCATAATGACCTTGTTTCTTTTTCTGTTTAATATATTTCTTTCTAAGAGGTACCGCACAAACATGATCTTGTGAGCAAATATGAAAATTAGTTCCACTTATTAGAATCTTTCGATCATCGCCTAATTTTACAACCATGTTCCATGTTCTTACAAACAGTAAAATAACAATAGAGGATCCAACAAGATAACAATTATTAATTTTTTTATATTTTCTATTTTTATTATATGCAAAAAAAAAAAAAAAAAAAAAAAAAAAAAAAAAAGTATACAGATTTCTTTTTAATTAGATTTGAAGTGCATCCCGTATATAAAGTTTCTGTTGATATATATAAATTGTAATTCATAACTAAATAATTTTTTAATGAGAGTTGTCTAAGATAATAAAAGACTAAATCTTTTGTGTGTTTAAACTCAAAAATCTTAAACTGGTTGATAGTACATTGTTTGGAATGTATTGTTTTTGAATTCGATCCAACCGAATTACATTTTTATTGAAAAAAATTATAATTTAGTTCAATATTTTTGGGTACATAGTTTAAAATGAAAAACAATTTGAAATTAATTGATCGGATCGAAATCAAATTAACATCCATTGCCCGTGCGTGGTAAACTTTGGATTCCAAGTCAACTCATCTTTGTATAGGGTTTCGTGTTGGGTATGGATTATTTTTTCATAATTAACCCTTATGTAAAATTAAAATAAAATTAATAAAAGAACCAAATTATCGATCATAAATAAAAGTATTTAGTGTTGTCATCTATTTTTTTGGTAGAAGATTTAGACTAGTTAAAGATATATAGATATAGATGGATTTAAGAGTAGTTTAGTAGTAATTTAGGAAGAAAGTATATTGCCGTTATAAAAAAAAACCAACTTATCGAAATCAGTATATATAAACATAATCTAAATTTTATGTTATTACAATAACAATAATCAGAAGAAAAATAGAAGAAAAATAGTTGAAGGGATAAAACAAATCCATTAAGGATTATAAAAAACCTTCATCATCATGAAATCTTAACTACTCACGCTTTAATTTCAAATCTTGAGCACTTAATTGACCCCACAGATAAGTCAATTTCTATCATGTTTTCCTCCTCATTCATCTCCGGCCACCACAACACAGATTCCGGTGACCTCTGCCGACAACAAAACTTGGGTTCCTCCACATCTTGGTAGCCAACATAGTGGCCACCGGGGAGTGCAATTTCAATTAAGCTCTCCTCGTCGGATATGGAGCCGTCAGAGCAGTCAGGTCTCCGGTATGCCTCGCCGGAAAATTGCCAGCCATCAAAGTCGGAATCTTCTTCGGTTGTACATGAGAACTGATCAATGACTTCACTCTCAGAGCAAGAATCCGGTGAACCCACATCAAAACACCCTTTCTTTACGGCTTCTGTAACTTGATTCAGATCATTCTGATCATTTTCCTGGAAGGGTTGTTGCTCTTGCTGCTCAAGAACTTGTAAGTTGTGCTTAGAGTGTATCAAGAACAAAAATGCAGAAGAAACCAAAACTAACGTCGTGATGATAGACATAATGAAATGCCCATGAGCAAAAGTGAAAATGGGGATTAAAAAGGAAATGATCCATGTGTAGCTAAGTGAACAACAACAAGAATTCATCTGATCTGTTATATGCTATTCAGAATCGTATATTCAAGAAAAGGAAAAGGAAAAGAGTCGAGTTTTGAAAATATAAAGATAGGGTTTTCGATTGATTGTGCAAGATTCAGGAGGAGAGGAAAAAAAAAGATACAAAAACAGATTCTACTGTGTTGAGAGAGATGTGTGGTGTGAAAGATATATAAATACATAGAATTTGAAGTGGTGAAGAAATAAAAATGAAATGAAACCTTTTTGATATACTAAAGATGATCCGAACTCAGACAAGTTTACACACAATTCTCCATAAGTGTGACGATTATTTTTCATTAGAAAAATGGCCACCAATGAGATTAGTGTTTGCTGTTTCCTCTGCAACTGATGATTCTCTCGGAAACCTAAAACCCTACTCGTTTGAAGCTTAGAAGTTCGTGAAGCCATGTGCAGACCTCTGAGCTCACCACATGGCACTTTCCCTCTAAATATTCATAGTAAATTCTATAAAACTGATGGGATTTTAAATATTTTTCAGTATTTAAAAATGTTTTTCCTTAATGGAGTATATTTTAATGAAGAAGGGAAAAAGTGAGAAAGGGCAAAAAGAACTTACGAGAAAGGAGCCAAAGTGCTTTCATAAAACTGTTGTTGAAGGGTGTGGCTTTTTGTACTCTTTTACGAATTCGAGTAATGTATGCAATTATTCTTTTATATTTTTTTAGGGTGACAAAAATAAATCTAAAAAAATATAGCTTATAATCGATTCTTAATTTGGGATATTTAACATTAAAGGAATAACAAAAACGATATGTTTTATTAACAAAGTATCAACTTGTCCATGATAGGGCATTTCGGATCCGATATCGGTTGAGCATCCCACCCGGATTTATTGGCCCCTATTTATTTATACCTTGTTTTTGGAATGTGGCGTCTAAAGTTAATTAAAGAGAGCTGATCCGTACACAACAATTTTCTTCATACATAACAATTGGTTCTTTAAAATGTTGTATTGTACAACTCTATAATGCATGAATTGTTGTATATGACAAAAAACTATTGTGTACAATCATTTCACTTCATGAAAAGTTTGTGGTGTTGTAACTATATCTCTAATGATATGTGTCGTTAACATTTTATCGATTAGATAGTGTAAATTATAAGCCACAATAGTAAAATTAAAAAATAAATAAATAAACATGTCCAGAATATGTCTATGATGACTGTGGCCAGCAATGGGAATTGTTCCAAATTTCGATGAACTTAGGATAAATACACATAAATGTTGAGTATCCATCGATACGTAGTCTTAGTTTACATAAATCATGAGGATGACTCATGTATTTCATATAATTAAATGCATGCCCAGAAGAAAAATAAGTGGTCTTTAACATAATGAACTAGCCTAGAACATGATGAACTAACATGGCACACACATAACATATATAAGAATACTCACCTCACACTGCCGAATCACACAGACAAGCCCCGACTCTTGGCTAAAAGATCCCCAAACTGTCAAACATCAAAACAACACCTAATTAACAGTTGGGTGCCAATGCATAACCATAAATCCATACTTGGGGTAAATAGTCTATTTTACCCCTAACCTTGCTTGGTGCAAGACTAAGGCCTAAACTCAAACTCTGGAGGCCTAAAAGCCAAATAATCAACTAATGCCCAAATATGGCACACTTTTCCAAATTGGGCCCAAACCCCTTACATGGGCTTTACCCTAAAGCTCATCCAAATATCCTAGTCCATACACTTGTTTTTAGATGGCCCAACAAGAACCCAAACACCTAAGCCCAAAAGAAAGCCCCAACTTAAAGCCCAAACATGATTAGGGTTTTCACATAAAATGACGATTAGGGTTAAGTGAGAACGCTTAAGCCATTACGAACTTAATCCATTAAGTCCATCGCTCTACCAGTTCAATCATACAATGTGGTCAGGTATAACTCATAACTCAAATCCAACGGTCCAAAACGCAGGTCCTGTCAAGTCTCAAGAAAAATCTCCAAGATTAGGGTTTTCCAAACCATAATTATGGTTTCCAACCCAAACACATGCCAATTAGGTTCAAAGTTAAGTTTTTAGGTTAATTAGGGTCTCACTAGGTGGGGCACCACCCACTACCACCTCCGGTAGTGGTGGTCGATGGTGGTTCACAGTGGTGGTGGGTGATTTTCCTTGATTTTTCGGCCAAGAATTGCTCCTACAACATCACGCCATAATACACACGCATATTTACACCAAAACACACACACACATAGACACAACCACCTCCTCATGTTGGCTGGTGGTGGCAAAAGATGGCAACTTAGTGGCACCCACTATGGTTGGCTACTATAGTGGTTCGCCTCACCTCCGGCCAACATAACACCCCCATACATACTTCACGGGTTCTAGCAGCAACACACACATATAAACGACATGAGACCACACACTCTCAACCACCAACTAGGCGGCTGATGATGTCAGAATAAACAGAAACAACGACCAAAGGCCACCGGCAGCAACAAACGACGTAAACAACATCATACACATAGAGAGGAGCAAAGGAGAGGAGAGAGGAGTGGCGTTTAGCCTTATTGAGAGTTGTCGCACCCCCGATCTAGACGGCGGAAACGTCCGGGGGCTCGTGTGACTAACAATTAAATAATCATGAAAGGTCAAAGTATATGGTTTGGGCTAGGCATTACATGTACAAATGAGTTAGGGCTTTTGAGAATGTTATTTGGAGTGTTTTTGGTATTTGTTATGTTTTCGGTCTATGAAAGGTTTTCGGTCAGACTGTGACCGAAAACCTGTTCTCGGTCAGTGTTAGTATAAATAGGTGTCAGGTTGTCATTTGTACAATGATGGTTCACTGCATTTTCGGTTCATTGAGTTGTATTAGACGATTTTCAGATCTAATCATATGCAAGCTCAAATTTGATCATTCTTCTTCTCATCTTCTTTATTATTTCACTTGCTTGATTGATCATTGGTATAGATCCTTCCATCAAGGACCTTACAATTGGTATCAGAGCTTCAAACCGGTGTCAATTAAGCTTGTTTTTAGTTCTCGGTCTCGCAAGTTTGTGTTCATCAAATTCTCAGTCACTCAAAGATTGTTTTGATAGAATTTGAAGATCAGATTGGAGTTTCAATCATGTGGCATTAAGATCTGTTTTTATCGTGTGGAATTCAAATTTTTTTGATCAAATTCTTATAATTTTCGATTTGATCCGCATCAATCGAAAATTCATTTTCAACCAAATTTTCATTGATAAGTGGTTCTTAAAGCTTTAATTGGTATTCTCATTGCGTGGAAATCAAATCAGTTCGAAAAACCGAGCTCTTCATTGAAAACTGCAGAGTTTTCGGTTTGATCTTCAGAAACCGAAATCCTTGTTCTTCAACCGAAATCCTTGTTCTTCAACCGACATCCTTGTGTTCTTAAACCGGAATCCTTGTGTTCTTCAACTGAAATCCTTGTTCCTAAACCAAAAATCTTTGAACATTCAGAAACTGAAAACCCTAGAATATTTAGAAATAGAAAACCTCCTTTCTTCAACCGAAAACCCATTTGGTTTATTTTTCAAGTTAATTTTTATTAAAAAATTTTAAAAAATTAAAATTATATAAATATAGAAAAAATGGAATCTCAAAACATGTCTGCTCATCTTGAATTGGATGCTATCATGGGTACTACTACATGAATTCCTCAATTGTTATCAGCAGAAGGATTTCCTAAATGGAAATATCAGATTGAAAAGTATATTAAAATGAAGGATTTTAAAATTTGGAGAAGTATTTTGAGAGGTCGTATCACAACAACTTTGGAAGATGGCACTATAATTGATAAGCAAGTTGAGAACTACACCAATGATGATTTCGAGAGAGTCGAGGAACAGGAAAAGGCTCTTGCCACACTCACTATGCCATTATCCCCAAAAATTGCTCAAGGTTTCCGTGAGTACACCTCAGCAAAGGCATTATAGGAAGCATTGACTGAAGTATACGAAGGGAATGAAGACATGAAACAAAGTTGCCAAGACATGTTGCGACAGAAGTTCAACATGTTTAATTATGTCTTGGGGGAATCTCTTGAGAATCAATTGCAAAGGTTTATCACAGTCACCACCGAGATGAGTTCTGCTGGTGTTATGGTTACAAAATCTGAGATCATCAAGAAGCTACTCAATTCTTTACCAAAATCTTGGGATATGAATGTTTTAGTGATAAAGAAGACCAAAGATTTGAACCGTTTGAGTTTGGCTGAAACAATGGCGATCATTAAGGCTTGCGATCTCGATGATAAGCAAAGAGAGATTAATCATGCTAATTCATACTCCTCTGCAAATCTTGGAATTCAAACCACCAACAATACTACTTTCTCAAGTGTTTCTATTCCTCAAGTTTCTCAAGTATCTCATGTTCCTCAAGTTTAACCCTATGTGACTTATCAGCCTACTTCATATGTCATCCCATCAATGCAGAACATTCATGTTTCTCAACCTCAATCTTCACTTCAACAAGTTGGTCCTGTTGTTGGTTTATCCTCAAATGCACCCATTTAGGCTCAAGGAAATAATCTTCAATCTTCATCATTGAAAGAAAAAGAAGAAAATATGGCCCTCGCGACTGATCTAGTGAACTGTTACAACGCTTTTGTGGTCGGAGAACTTTCCCCATAATTATCATTTGATGACCTTGATCAGATCCATCCAGAGGATGTGGAGGAGATGGACATCACATGGCAAATGGCTATGAATATTTTTAGGGAAAAACAATTCTCCAAGAAAACTGGGAAAAGCAACTGGAGTGTGAATTTTGACGAGAAAGTAGGGTTCAACAAAGGAAAGCTGAGGTGTTATAATTGTCATGAACTTGGACACTTTGCCCGAGAATGTCCAAAACCAGACCAAAGACAGAATTCTGAGTGAGCTATGGTGTCGGTGAACAACAACCGGGGATCCTCCGCAAACAATCGGAATGAAAACATGGATATGGTGGCTCAATCCTTTGATTGGGAAGAC